GGCCTGATCACTTTGAGTTCCTATAATAAGTTCACCAACAATTGCTACAAGGACTCTTTAATCGTGGCGATAAGTAATATTGCGACTTCCTTTTTTGCTGGCCTGGTGATCTTCTCGGTAATCGGATTCCTTGCTCATGAGCTCGACGTACCAGTGGCGTCAGTGGTAGATGAAGGCCCTGGGTTGGCGTTTATAGTTTATCCAGAGGTGATTATTGATTTTAGTCTTCGATCAAATCAATCTCGCATTTTTTCCATCGATTTTCAACATCATTCTTCTTGTCAAAAATAGAATAATTAGACAAATACATTTTCTCAACGATTTATACTGGTAGGCGTTCGAGTATATGTTTCAGGATCATCGACGATTCTTTGCATAACTATGCGTAGATTGTAGCTCGTCTGCCGGTCGCACCCATCTGGTCGCTGCTATTCTTCATCATGCTGCTCACTTTGGGCCTTGATTCACAGTTCGCTCTCATGGAGACTGTTACTACAGCAATACTTGATAGTGTTCCGTCATTGAGAAGTTACAAAGTTTGGGTCGTCCTAGGAGTTGCGGTGTTCGGATATGCTGGTGGTGTTATTTTCACGACCAACGTAAGTTTAAATTATCTTTAACAACTTCATTTGATGTAGAATTTTGATTTTTAATATATTATTACGAAAACTGTCTTTGTCTCTTTAGGCTGGCATGTATTGGCTGCAATTAATGGACAAGCATGCGGCAAATTCGTCCGTTTTGTTGATCGCTGTAATCGAATGTGTTATTGTGGCATGGTTGTACGGTGCGGATCGCTTTTTGGACGATGTTCAACAGATGATCGGACCTCGAAGTCATTTATGGAGATTATTCTGGAAATGGATGTGGAAGTTTGTCACACCCGCGGCATTGTTCTTTATTCTTTCTTTTAATTGGGTAGTGTACAAAGAGATCAAGTATGGAGCTTACATTTATCCGATATGGGCAGACACATTAGGTTATCTTATTGGAAGACTTCCCGTTTTTGTAATTATCGGATTATTTATGGTAAGTTGAGATGTTCTTCTTACTAATAACACAACATGTTGACAAATATTATACGAAAAGTTATTAATACAGGATCAGCTAAAGAGACGACGTTGGCGATCATCTTACAACAATGATGATAAAGATGATAACGATGATGAGGATAGGGATGAGGATGATGATGATGAGTTTAACGATAAGGGATCTTGCCAAAAAGTGGAGAAAGAAAAGGGCAAGGATAAGAGAAAGATGTGGAACCGTATAAAGATATTGATGCAGCCAACATCCAAGTGGAGACCAGCGTCGCAAAATTCTTTAACGCCTTTTAGAACTTTGACGGCTTCGTTAGGTAACGATTCTTTATTAATTCAAATGACAATGATTTTCAACGTTGAATTATAATGTTTATAATATTAATATCTTGAAGCAATCTCAGAAGCGTATGACTCAGTACGAGATACGATTATTTTGATGAACGGTCAGCCGATGATGAGACCACCCAGCGTTATTCCATCTGCTCAGAAACTCCCCGGACCGTCGATTCTTAAAAATTCTAGCAAAACCGATCTGATTACCTTACAGCAAGTGTGACACGACGTTCATTTTACATCCGATGACGATACTTCAATAGAATCATGCTGAAGATATAATATGCCTAACATAAAGCTTATTTTGACATGAATAAGCATTCTTATAATATCGACAAATATATTTTGTCAATCGCGATTGATGCAAATTATTTTTTATTATTTGATTCGATTTACAAGAAGTATAAAATTTTGAATTTTCATAAAATCGATTTTATTAAAAATTGTATAACTTTTATTGGGCATGATTTTCACGATCGATTGCAATCAAGAAATGAAGGAAATGATATATTTTTTAATTATATAGTTTACTAATATTTGTAAAAAAATCCTTTATTCTTTCATGACAAATTAAAATTGCAATACTTTGCATTGTTAAAGAACATTTATCAAGTAATATCTTGATTTTGGCGGAGCTTAAATAAATTATCGATATTAAATTTTTAATGTCCAAGGGATGTTGGGACAAAATGTAAAACTGTCAGCACTTAAAAAAAGTTGGAAAGGATTATAAAAAGTGACATATAGACAGTATTATTATTTTAAAGAGCAAATATTTTATTAAATGTCTACTAAATATAATGAAAAGTATCACATACGAAAAAATTATTGTTTCACGATAGAAAAATATATATTTCTGAAAATTGGACCGTTTTCATTGTGAAGAAAATATAAATTGCATGTATATACGTAAAAACACATTTATAATTACATTTCGCAAATAGAACAAAAAAATTAAAGAAAGAAGGCAGTGTGAAAAAATAAAAAGAAATCGAGATATACTCGATGTAAATTTCTTGATAATTGTAAAGTGTCTAGAGATATATTGTAGATAAATACTGCTGTGGATACTTCTTGTAGATATAGATTATCCAAAGAGATTAGATATTAGATATTATAGATATATCTCTTTGACATGTAAAGACATTCAGGGAATAAATTAGACATTTTGGATACGATAAAGAAAATGATAACAAGAAATACAAGGAAAATTGCGAGACCTATTGTAATTTATAGAGAAGGAAGTATAGACTTACCAATGAGTAATAATTCATAACGGGAAAAGTCTCGATCTTTATTTTTATGGAAAGTATTTCTTGGATAATTTTAAGCAGATAATCTATTTTAGCTAATAATCTAGCAAATGATTTGTATTTCAACTGACACCTTGATAATTTTTTCAACGAAAACTTGACTCGGGATAAGTGGAAAACTTTGTAAGTAAAAAGAGTGGCCTTAATTCTCTGAAAAAAATTTTGCATATGAAGATACGAATATCTATAATATCTATGCCAATTATCCCAAGCATATCTTGCTTGGCATAATCTTCACTTTTACCGCGTAATACGCCACAGAAAATCAGTATATACTAATCTTTGCACTTTCATTTTGAGTGCAAGATATTTTTGAAATTTTTATCCTGTTTGAATCTTACGAACTGAATGAATTATAAGTCGCTTAATGTCTAGAATTGGCAGTTGACAAATCGGATATCAAAAACTTTTATTCATAATGAGAATCAAAAATAACTTCAAAAGTAAGAATTCAAAGGCTTTAATGATAGAGATAATACTTTAGTGATGAAGATGGTAAATATAAATGTAAATCTCAAAATTAAAAAAATTTATGACGATTTTTAAACCATTGCGAATAATGCACGGATTGTAAAATTGAAAGTATACTATTACGTATTTGAGATATTAGTGAGCTTGAAGCAAAAAAAAATGAGATGAGACAAATTTATTTTAATAAGCCATGTTTTAAGATTGCAAAATTTAAAAGTTAGAGCTAATAACATATTGTAAAAGTGCCGTTAAATATATGACTGTTTTCCTCCTCGGCAAATGTTCCATCAAGCCAGTTGAACGTTCAATAACTTTAATGTTTTTTGCAGATCATGCACTGGTTAATTAATGTGCGACTTCCTACATAATGATAGTAAAAGTATACATGATAGTAAAAGTATACCTCATTATATGAAATAATGACAATTAATATAATGTTTAGTCACTATTGCTGGTTTATCTTTTATCGGCCAAATGAGATGGTTGACTGTTCTAATAATAAGTAAGATTATATAAGAGCAGTAACGCATTACGAATCGTGATAATACGGTGGTAACACGATAGTATTATATCAATATCAAATCAGATAACAATCAATAAATTAATTATTTCAGAAATAATTTCTTGAAACACGTCACCACGTTGTGATGCTTTTCGATAATATCAAGTAAAAATTTTTTTTTAAATTAGAAGAAATGGATAGAACAACTAAAAATTTTATTTTGCGGTACAGTCATGTACACTGAATACTTAAGAATCTGTCATCGCGGTGATGGTTATGATTCTAATGTCGTTACGAACAACCAGTAGAGCGAACAGTACAAATTAATGCGTCCTAGTTGTAGCTGATAGGAAAAAGATGCTTTCTTTCTTAGGGGAAGCCTCTTTTCTTCATGAAAAAAATTAATGAAAAAGGAAATTTTTTTCTCAAAAATATTTGCGGTAGATTCGCGTGAAGGGAAAATATTTTTTTACATAAATAATGATGGCATAAATATTATCATTAGAATAAATATTTCTGCAAAAAAAATAATTTTATTGTAAAACCAAAGATGATATTTTAGTTGTGTTTTAATGTAGAACATGTTGAACGGTATACAATCAGAATACAATTAATAATACCTTGAATG